ATCAGGGCACCGATTTCTGGTGCGAAGCTGCGTTTTTTAAATAGCTCACCGCAAGTTTTTGTCGTTTACAGCACTGTTTTTTTCCGGGAGATGTCTCTAAGTAAAGGAACTGGGAGTGAGCACCATGACTTTGAGAGAAAGTTGCCTTAAAATTTCGGCTTTCTAACTTTTCTGGTTTCCGAGTTGGCAACTTGGGCCAAAACTTTCACCAACCCCATACTTAGGAATCATGCAGATCTGGGGGTTGGGTTTGAACTCATTAAGTATTACATGGATGGGAAATATCCCCTTAAAATTCCAGCTTTCTAACTTTTCTGGTTCCCAAATTAGCAACTTGCAAAAACTTCCACGGGCCAGTAAGTAAACCATATGAGCAAGACGCCCATTTTGGGGATGGGGCCCATGCATGCATGTAGATTAAGTTCCCAAAGTTTCAACTTGTAGCTTTTGTGGGTCTCGAAATGAAAAATTGGCACAGACAAACACACAGACATACATACACACACAGACAACCCCTCTACAATATGCATTTTTGCATTGCATGGATGCAAAAAAAAAAAAAAAACTCATAATAACCAGCCAACAAATGAGCCGGCAAGAAGCGAAAAATGAGCCGAATTTGATGCGAGTATGGCCTATCGACGTGTACAAGGTGCTAAGACAAATCAGATTTTCTAGCCCCCGTAAAGCTGCGCACTATAGTTCACAGAACGGCGATCGTCTATTAAAACACTTTCAGATGTGTTTAATTATAAATATGCTCGCTCAGTTCCCTCTCCTTAGTCCTGCCAACACACCAATGGGAACGGTAGAGTGAGAAGTTAAATTGACGCATGCATCAAAAAAAAGTACTTCGCCAGCCGATTAAAAAAAGTTGAAAAAGCTGAATTTTGATGCTTTGACGCGTAAATTAGCAACATGAAAGTCAACGTCCATAAATTTCGAATCTGTGACAGTACAAACTCTGGAGCTGAAACGGGAATACTGCATGCACAGTAGTTACACACTTTTCAATTTATGACGAAGATTTATTTTTAGTTCGCTTTTAATGCGTTTTGTGCTGTGTAACAGCGTTACAAAACGCGTATTGTCACGGGATTGTCTGTGTGTGTTTGTGTGTGTTTGTTTGTGTGTGTGTGTGTGTGTGTGTGTGTGTCATTTTGTCCCGCACTTTCAGCTCGGGAACCACAAAAGCTAGGCGGCTGAAATTTCGGTACAGTGTTCCCCGCTAACGGGTGACGCAGCTAATTTAAATTCAGCCTTCCCGTACCTGCGAATAATAAGTACGGCTCCGTAAAATTTTTTTCGGGTAAAATTATTATCACGGGAACCACGTAAGCTGGA